TGAGCATCTTGGTGAGGGTTCCACATTTAAGTACGGTTCTGGGCCACCTGCTTCCTCAATGTAAATAGAGAAGAAATAATTGAGCACTGCATTATGTGATGCTTCATTTGGAAATGCACTGGCAAGCGCATCTTTCATTACGCGCAGGTATCCTGTTGCTGTCCACCTGCAGGACACAGTAATAAGCAGAACCGAGAATGGACGCAGGTGGTCATGCTTCACACAGGTTTAGACATGTATACATGCTAAGAATTGTCCATTCTTGCAGTTGTATTGGTGTTGCGAAGTCTAAAATTTTGTGCAAGATTGTTCATAACTCTTGTAACGTCAGTATGAGCCTAGTCGGCCTGTATTCTTGAATCCATTAACAGCATGTTCATATTTTTGTTTGAAGTGGGTTATACCGTGATGGTTGGAATTGTTAAAATACTAAGCAGGCATTTGTGAAGAGCAGAAATACAGCTCAACCTGAAGATCTGACCAAGCGTTGTCAAGCGTTACCTAACCTCACCTCCCCGAATGCAATGTCGTATGAGCAGCTGTGGTGTGAGGTATATTCCAGTACCGAAAACAAGCCATTTTGTCTCGTGGTCACTACAAGAAAGGTGTCCAGCATATAGCTTTTGGCAACGTAAATTCCTAATTTGAGTATTAGATAAAGTACACATAAAGTACACAAAAACAATAGATTGGAAAAGTGGGACGGATTGCCGTATGGGTTCAATCCAATACATCACGACACGCGTCTCTACGAAAGACAGCTAATTTGTATTCGTTGTCAGGCTATCCAATCGGAGCAGTGTGCTTAATTGCGAAACTGCGTACCTCCGGCTGGAATTTCTCTCTACTCTGATAACTGGTAGCTCATAGGTCAATTATGGCATTTATAGTTGTCGACAGACTGGCCAAAAATTGCCGTCCGAAAATTGGTTAGATTTGCCAGATAACTTTAGGCACACGGTAAGCTTCCTTTCTTATTGGATTACGTTTTCAGCGATGGAACGCGAAGATACAGTCATTTCAGTGAATGTAAGATTTTCCTTACACAGATTTTAGAATGGTAAGTAGGAACAACATTTGTGTTTCGCATATTCTCGTCAGTCGTTATCATACAATTAGTGGAATAGTTAGGTTGCAGGTAGAGACATTCAGGGTGAAACGTCATTGGGGAGTCGAAAACAGTCAAAATTCATCTGATGTTGGCCGACACTAAGCTTAGAAAAATGTGGCCACCAGCCTCACCAAGGCAGGGCAAGACTGGTGACAAACTCGGTCTGTTTACACAAACGTGGTTTCAGCCACTTAAATGCCGAAGCCTCAGCGAACTGGAAGTGACAGGCGGAGCTCTGTCAGTTGATTTTGCTAGGTGATTCACGATGGTTTTCACATATCTAGCAGTCAAGAAGTCGGGCGATCGAACTGGCAGACAGCTTTGGACCATCCGCGACCAGGTATTGCGAAATATGCTCAGAAATCTTTGTGGACAGTGTCCACTCAGTTCCACCGAGGTAATCGCTACCGCAAGTTTAGTGAAACAGGTAAACGATTGTGGTGGTAACTTTAGAATTTGGCCTTTTTAGGTTGGATTTAAGCAGTAACTTCTTACCTTGGTGCAAAAGGACGACCCCAACTGCGTAGTAATACTTCTAATGGATTGACAGAGACGGCATCGGAATCTGCTGTCATTTTGGTCGTCTTTGCATGGTAACGTTATGAAGACATTTTTCTTAGGGACGTCGGGCACCTTTTCGTTCCTAGTTCGGACATTCGCGTTTGTGTGCCGTGGTAAGAACTTCTTAGGATATCCTTTTCATATAATGTCAAGGAGACGCGCTACAGTTCACATTCACACGTTTTATCGAAACGGTCGTAAGAGTGGTACGAACCAGAGTTCATTTGTGATTCACAGGGCAGAAACTGCTAAAGTTCAGGTAGTGTCTTGTCCAGGTAGGTTTGCGGTACGTGGATTGAATGAGTGTCCCATTTAGCTTTCTTCTTAGGCTAACATCCAACAATATTGAAGGCGTCAGAAGATTCGCTTTCAGTTGTAAAATCTGTTGCTGGGTGACAGTTGTTTAAAGTCATTGGCAACTGATCTGCTTGCTCGGCAATGTCTACAACAACGAAAGTATCATTTTTGTATCGGCTATATGAATGTACGTTTTGTATGTAAGGAGGTAGCTTGATGTTTTCCAGGTGCCACATGAAGATATCAGCCAACATAGGCCCAATTGGACTTGCCGTGGCAAAACCATACGTCTGTCGATACATGGTGCCATTAAAATTAAACTGGACATCCTTCGTGCACAAGTTCAGTAGTGACTTCAGCTGCTGAGTTGGAAACCCAGTTTTGTCGGAATGTACGCCTAGTACATCCAGAGTCCCTTCCAAGGGAACCTTAGGGAATAATAAACACACATCAATTGATGCCATGTGTTTTCTTTTTATGTTCAAATCGCGGATCATATTGAGAAATTCGAACGTATCTTTGAGACTGTATCCGTCCAGTTCACACCGAATAAGTTTGATAAGTTGGGCTAAGCATTGTGCCAGCTTCTGAAACCGTGCACTGAGCATTGAAACGATTGAACCAAGGGGGAAACCTTCCTTATGAGTCTTCTGTAAACCGTACATATGGGAAAGTCGAAATTCATGTGGGCGCAGATGTGTCATAGTTTTCTTGTCAGTAAGCTCTTTTAATTCGCGAATACGCGATTCCTCGACTTGTTCTGTTCTGTCACGACCTGCCGCATCGCGAACGAAGTGGCTGGCATCATCTAGAATTGCATGCTTTTTTAAACATAGCCCGCTTTATCCATTATAACTACTCCTGTTCCATTATCCGGTCTCAGTATTACCACATTCTCATTTCGTCCTAGTTCCATTAAGGACTCCTGGTTTTGTTTGGTAAATATTCTACGCTATTCCGTTTCGGTAACACAAAATTGGTTTGCCAGATCCACTGTCTCAGCCTTAAACCAACCGCTTGCGTCGTCAGTGGCAGGTGTCACAGTGGAGAATTGATTGTGTAGGATCTCAAAGTGCGCTTTAATTCCTGTGCTGTCATCTGTACTCGATGGTACTGAGAAATTAAACCCAAGTGATAGCGCCTCAAGCTGTAGACAACTTAGTGAGACAGAGGACAAAATAAGCGCGTAAGCCTCAGATTCAGTTGGCATCTGATCATTGAAGCATTTCACTGCTATCGAGTTGACGAGTTGTTGGTTTGCTGTCAGTCGTGTTTTTCCAAGCACATCGCGGAGAAACCTAGAGCTTTGCTCGACACAACATTTAATCTGTTTAGGGCATGATCGTCAAATCCTGTTCTAGTATTTAACGTGGCAATGGCGTTAAACGCATGCCTCAATCTGGGATTTCGTAAATCATCGCTAGTTTCGGGGGTTCAATGGTAATTTCTCATTACGCAATTGCAAAATTTGGCGTGAATAAGTGAAAGTTCTTAGGCAATCCGTACAAACATTTACAAGGGTAGTCTCACGAGAGATGCAACAACGTAATTCCACAAGACTATCCGGAGAGCGAAATATGTCCGGAGGGAGCTGTTTCTTTACAATATCCAAGAATTTCTCTTTATAAATTTTAGAATGGCAAGTAGGAACATCATTTTCACAGGATGCTCTGAATTCAACTATTGCGCATATTCTCGTCAGCCGTTTACATAAAATTAGTGGAATAGTTGGGTTGCAGGTAAAGATATTCAGGGTGAAATGTCACTGGTGAGTTGGAAACGGTCAAAGCTCATCTGATGCTGGCAGGCACTGCGCTTAGAGAAATTCGGCCAACAAGGCAAGGCAAGACTGGCGACAAATTCGATTTGTTTACACAAAAATACCGTCAATGTCGATTATGCCGGATCGCAGGGTTATCCCAGAACTCCAATCTTGCAGTCGAGTTTTCGATAATTAGCACATTTCGACTGATTGTCTAATGTTCGGGCAACTGCTGCTTTTTGACCAATCAGTGACAAGTTAGGCACGTGAATGCATGCCATTCTTAGGGTTGTGGATCGGGGCTCCAAAGAGAAAAGGGGGAACTGACTTTGTTCGCTTAGTTGAACAAGAATTGTCGATTGGATTGAAGCGACTCCCTGCGGTTGTGTTTGAGTTGAAACTATAAGGCACGCGACTATTGAAGCGAGACGGGAATCGGCAAGTATTGGGCGGTTGAAAACAGTGAGGGGAAGGTGAAGTAGGATCGGGAGAACGAGGATGAAAATGCACATGAGGGGGTTAAGAAGACGGGAAGGCCCGGGCGTTACTATCCAAACCCCATCCACGCTGCTCAATGCAGCAAATGTGACGCCATTGATTAGCCTCTGCGACGGCCAGAGTAACCAGAGTTGGTTTAAAGGAAAAAGCAGAGTGTTGTATTGTTTAAGCAGGATATTGTCAGACTTCCTAGGCTTAAACAAGAGAATTAGTAAGGTTGTCAAACAAGGCTTTTATTGCAAAAACCTTATCACACGGCAGCTGGATTGTGACACTGAGGTGCAGAAAGTCTGTTTTGTGGTTAGGAGCCAAGCTCACTCCAGCCCCAAATCTTCAGGACCAAAAGATTGAGTTTGTCTGGCATCTAACCACTGACCAATCCGGTATGAGCGGCTCTGAAGGTGCGAAAAGTGCCACCCAGCATAACTCAATGGATCGCTGAGGTACGTAAACTATCGCACCACATTGAGGTCCCGTCTCGTGGCTATGTGAATAACATATTTTCATGCTTTATTCTGGAAGCTTAGCGTTCCTTAGGAGTAGATTCATTCATTGAGGTCACTAATAAATCCACGGTTGTCACCAGAGCACAATATTTTCCACGCAGTCTGTTGTAAAATTGGACGCATGTTAAATTGTCCCAGGGTAGTGAAACTTTCTAAAGGCGGTTCTTGGTCTGATACCCGCTACAATTCTATACCCCCTAGAGGTTGTATCAGAAATGACAACAAGGAGAAGAACAATTATACCGGGATAACTTTTGATACTTACCCCGGCAGTTATGAGGAGGGAATGAAGCCTACTTGATTTTAACATGCGCTGATCCACTCCAGCTCTCCTGTCTAATTTCGATGGTTTTCTGAGGGAAATATCGGTGCCATGTTTCGCAGTGGTGCTGCAGATCCAAGTGGATAGGAGGTTACCATCAATTCTTGTCAAAATCAGTGTGGAATTTAAGTCCACAATTTGGAGAATATACTCACAAAACCGTCCATGCCACTGATGGATCAATGCATTAATCAGCAGGGTCAAACGCGAGCGAGGGGAACTAGGGTCATCGATTTGTCCGTATCCTTTGTTGCCGATCACGAAGTACAACAGACGGGAGATGGCAGCTAGTGAACGGCGTTGCTTTGTTGTGATTGGGTCACGGTCAATTGAACCAGATTGCGAAGTTTGATGGGAATTGAATGAATGATATCCCTGCCGGCTGGCTGCTCGCCTCCTTTTTAACGAGCGTGAAGAGTGAAATATCTCCGGGGCGACGATGGCCACGTGCAAATACCGATGAAGCAATGCGTGTCCAATAAACTGAAGGGAATTAATTCAGCAGGTTGCTGGTGATATACTCGGAGGAGAACAAAACTGTGCAATATCCCTATCTTTAACACAATATGGGAGAAAAATATCGATCCTATGAGAAACGAGAGGTGTGGTCATGGTAACCAACCTGTGAGTATATACTATGCACTACCTATGTACTTGTGACTCAGACACTGTTGCTATGAATCATAAGTTTAAATGAACAATCGCATATACACCGCATTGGAACCAGTGCCCAATTGGATTCTGTGAAACAGAAAACGAATTTTCAATGATGAGTTTGTCATCTGCATTAAAAATCTGCTGACATGAGGACAGAAACGAAGGACGACTCGATCACCTAGACTGCGCACTAGTAATTTCCTATTGTTAGAAAATAAAGTACGACATTCAGTATGAGGGAGTGCAAGTAGACTTTGCATTTTGGAACAGCCAGCCGATAGGATCGCTCGCTAGTGGTCGTCATTTTCTCTTTTATGCGCTAAGCACAGTTAATGTCAGAACTCCGGTCACTTAAAGCGGAGAGCGGCTTGGGTTTGAACAAGTACAGACATAATCATGGCGGAGCTCGGAACACCGATGATGCCAGTGAGATGGACACGATGTGTTCCTATAAGGAGGATATTCGCGATTTCAAGAACTGTGTGTAAAAAGAGTAGCAACTTTCCACGCGGTGTGCATCACAATCTGGATACCCAGGTAAGATTGTCACATGTTTCGCTATGCCTCTCTTAGAAAAGGTTCATTTCGGTTCTGCGCTCTCGCCTAAGGAGGAATTCGACGGTATCATCAATATAAGTGACCGAATAGGTAGGGATGTGAAACGGGGCATTTTGTCTCCAATTACCGTGAAGGCTGGAGTCATCGAGGCTTTCTTACGCAAAGCTACTACACGCTACGAAACGACGTGCTGATGATGGTACCTCAATTGATGATGAAACGTCTGCAACACAATTGTCAAGGTCAGCGAACATTTAGGCCGCCAGACTGCTGCAACAAAAGAGAAATGGCTGAAACACTGTAGACTTTTCACTTCTAGCTCTACCGACAACCGGTGTAAGCGTAGTTCGTCTTGGTTGATCACTAGGTATTCGAAAGTCATTAGGAGGGCTTTTTGCTTCTTTTGACCAAAAGCAAACATGCAAAAGCTAATCAAATCCCTTGAGAAGAGAATTAAATTTGGGTGGTGTTTGTGTGGTTTTCAGTGTCTGTAGCCTGTTGCGACAGGTCCGTGCAAAACTGCTCCCAAATGCAATTGACTTCTCCCTCGTGTTAGTATGCGTATGTAGGAAGTGTTGGCAATTAATTCTCTAACCTCACTGTGCTACTCTGACACAGACAAGAAATGGCATTTAACTTTCTTTCTGTATCGCGAGCTAAACTATGCAAAATAAGTGGGTCGGGTCTGAAAAAATGAGCTCATATTCTAGGAGCCTTCTAGTTGGATTTTGTGTGTGCAACATTGACAAATGACCTATACAAGACAATAAGATGTTGCACAGCGTCCGCTCTTCCTATCCTCGGATTCTTAGCGACGAAAATTGTTACTTTGTTACAGGGTACCACCAAGGTCATAGTTGATGTCATCCGCTCTAAAGACACCGAATGAGCGTTAACGGATTTCTCCAATTGATTTACAGGGTTTAGGTCTAGTCGGCTAGAATTCGTGCACTGGGTTGGAGTGCAGCAATTTACCTCTATTCAGGATGCCATTTTGCCAGATATTAACGAAGGTAAGGGTGAATATGAGATATCGGTCATTTTGCCCAAGCTCCCCTGTAGGCAGTGGACACCGACTAACATGTTACGCTTCAGCGTAAGTGTTTAAATGAAAGGAAACCTAACGGATGTTCACCTGGATCTCCCAAAATACACGGATTTATTCCTCGAAAAAAGTAGCCAATGAATCTTGTCCGGAAATTTCATACAAACCGTTGAATTTCAAGCAACGTACGGATAAATCCATGGGTTCAGATGTGCTTGAACTAAACACTTGGAATTCATTTGAAAGGATTGTTTCGTATCTGAATCTCCCAGCAGGTTCGAAGGAAAGTGGACACTGAATCCGTACACAAGCGTTATATTCTTGGTTCTGCCATTGAAAACACATCGGCTATGAGCAGTCGGTTTTTTCACAGTAGCTTCCAAATCAGATAGTCTTTAGATGCCCAAAAACAGTGGACGGAAGTTTCGTCAGTAGTGTGCATCCATTGGATCGGTCAGGATATGAACTCATGAGCAATAGCGAATTGAACCAAAAACCAGTAGCATCTGACAATAGGCCATCCGGGACATTGACAGTCCGTTATGATTTACAAGCTAAATTCGATATAGTGTGTTCCTTCCTCCACTGGCATGCAAGTTACCAATGTTGCAGAGGATAGGGTGGTCCCCAAAAGACACGACTACCCTGATAGTGGCCAAGTAGGATACGGCATTAAAAAGCTGTCGGATCGAATATTTTAATCTACTGATGAGTAGGGTATTTTGCAGTATATTTTTGTGATTTATTCGCATCAGCTTCCAAATGAGATAGTCCTACACTCTTGACGGCCAACAGCTATATTCCATACCCCCCGTGAACGACCTACATGTACTCACGCGCCACGATTTGAAGTCCGAGACACGAGGAATCTGCACGTTGTCCTACCGTCAAGTGCGAGTAGACATTATTATGACCTACCATATTCTATATCTTGATGACTTCCCCATGCTGCACTTCCGAGGGCCATGCAGCACACGCGAACACAGATACAAACTTGTCGTGCCGGAGGTGAAGCGAGTGCCCCACCTACCGTGCTTCGAACAGAGACTGGTAAATAGTTGGAACAGCTTGCCTGATCACGTGATGGTGGCAACATCTGTGCAGCAGTTCAAAAGGTTGTTCGATTTATATTGTACCACTATACAATTCAGAACGGTTGCACACTTACGACATCTCCCATTTGGGAGTCCGACATTACCGTGAGTCAGATATTTTAAATGTCACAGGAGAACGATAACGAAATTTATGGCTGACAATTGTACACCATTTTGTCACCATATTTCGAAAGTGTTGCACATAATTCACTGACATTTGCTCTGCAATACAATATTCCGTATTCAGTATTCAGTTCATTTACTAAAGTGCTATTGGGGCACTCATCATCGCTTACGTATGAGGAGCAATATTTCCACCTCCAGCTTGATCCACTCTGGCTTCGACGGCTAAGCATCAGTCTCACTTTCTTCCGCAGCATACTACACGCATGAGTTTGTTTAACCAGTATGACTGTCGCATTACATAATGGCTCAAGCTATCCCATTCATAATGGGAAATATCTACTATCCTTACAGAGAACCAAAAGAATATCCGCTTAAAATTCTTCTTGGTGAGGTACACTCATCTGTGGAATAAACTCCGGTTTCAGCCAAGGATGTGCGACAGTCTGTCCATTGTTAAAACTAAGTTAAAAACTTTTCTTCCCATACCAAACGTGCTCAAACTTTTCGACCTTCAACAATCCACGAGCGCGCTCATGAAATCGGGCCCGAACAACATATGAAAACATGAACTGTCAAATTATGTTACATACTATATACGCAACAAAACATTGCACAACTCTTCCACCTTGAATGGAGTTTATACATTAAATAATAACGAAACGCTCCACAAATGATCGTTCCAACAAAGGAAACCTATCCTGATGGTCTGGAAATATGCCCATTTATTTATTTATATATTAGTATGGTCAGAGTATTTGAGTCCTGATGTAGTCATTTTCACCAAGCCTGTTTAGAAGACTTTGAGTATTTGTTTCCCGGACTTCAGTATTGATTAGATGGGCTCGTGTCTTGAATGTGAGTTTGCTCCGATCGACGAAGGCTGAATCCCTAATCTCTCTTGGTGCAGTACTGACGATTGATTTCGTGTTAGATCCAGCGATTCCGTGACTGACCCCTAGATCAAATCTTCGCGTGTGAGAAATGGTGCACACACTGATGGCGGGAGGGATGATAACATCATGCCAGTGTCAAAAATGATCCAACGAATACCGCGATTTTGTTACGCTTTGGTACATCACATGGGATTCAGGAGAAATATTCTTGAAAAGATGTTGCCATGCTTTTTCAGACGATCTTTAGTTTGCTCATCGTATTTACAATTTTACCCTGGGCATTACGTGCTAGCTAGTACATTCGGTGTTATCATTGCTTGATAATAACCAATTTCACGCGAATAGGCTTCATAGCATATAGAAACACATTTAATTAAATAAACCGTGAATCACTATCGAGAAAACTGACTAATGTTTGTATGTGACTTTTGTATTTTACATGCTAGTGGATTATCTCATCAAACGTGCCCTAGTATACCCAACTTGGCGATAAAAAAATCTTCCAATCTTCGAAACTCTGGTGTTCTTCTGGGGAATTATATACATTTTTCAACTCATAATGAAGCAATGACTTCTTCTAAGGATGCAACCTTATTGAAGCATTCAGGTGACGTGGTTTTTGTATCAATTATCTGACCAAAGTCCTTCCAGTCATGTCGAAAAGTTGACAACCCTGTCCAAAGTTGGTGATCAGTCACAATGTACTCAAATTCATTGACATTTCTTCCTGTTTGCACCACGGAAGTCACTTCCAGTAACTCATGAAATGCCCCGGGACTTCACATATATTCGTGGGTCGCAGTCCTCCATGTGATCATTTTAGCTTGGGGTCACCCGGAACCATGCCGTTTCTTGCTTTTTCATGTGAATAATTTATCCACAAAAGTCCGACAGCTTTTGTCGATATTTAATACTACGGTTTATCATAACCGGCGTGAGGTAGGGAATTCCTCCACTCCGGACCGCTGATGGACCAACTAGAACAATCACTGAAGGAACAAACGTGTTTATGACGCTATGTTCTCGCCCATTTCAGTGGATTTTACTATCACATATCTTCCAACTCTTGTTTACACATCTCCAGCACTCACCCACATCTCTTTTACATTG